CATATCAGCGACCCTGTATAAATATATCTCACACATTATTCTGACATATTTTGCCACTAAGAACTGTCGAAATACGAAACAAGAAGAGTATTCTCAAGGAAAATCTTCTATTTTCATGTTGAAAACGGGATCAGATTCGATGATAAGTCGAATTGAATATATTTCAATACAATAATCATATTTGTCCTCTTCAGACATTTTCTGAATGAGGTGTCGTGGACTATCGATTGAATCTTTCTCTATTCATCTGTTTTGTGAATAGCAATAGCAGAAATCGAATGTTATCCACTGAAAATGAATGAAGTAATCGTAAAAGCACTTCATCGTTCGACTACCACCTGCTGAACCATCGTTCATAGTGTCACTTCATCGCGAAGATGATAAGGGTGAAACATGTATCGATAGCGTGAAATAGGCGTTTATAAACGCAGACAGTATTGCGAACAAATTTCACAAAGCGAAGAGTGGATCTCCAACAAATCTGGGTCTGAAAGGTTTGAATTCAGTCACATAATATCCCATCATTTTATCCCGGATGATATCTTATTGTGACTATTGTGACCAATCATGAGTCTGAAAACGTTTGATGAAATAACAGCAGGTGGATTCGGTTGCACGATCGTCGATTGTCGTACGAGACGATGATGTACTCGAAGTCAAATTCATTCCCTATTTTTTTTTCCTGATCAAGTCGCGATCGAATTCGACTTCGAAAATCGTCCGTTTCTTGACGAAATGGGATGAGATTTGCATCCAATGAAACGAGCACCGAGGCCATTGCCCGAAAGCCATCACAAATTTGAGGTTATGGTGGTGATAGGTAATTCTAATTGTTCGAGATGGTATTTCAGCAGCTTGAAATGGGCAAAGAAATTAGGATCTAATTTGTTGACGACAAGAACTATGAAAGAGTATTAGGTACCTACCTCTTATGCTTCCTCTTCGCCTGAAGAAAGATTCATTGAGCTATTCATATTGAACAAGAGGTTGGTAAGTCTTCTGATAGATTCATTGAAACCCCACCTATTAGTGGATTAGTCAAGGTATGCAGGCGGGGAATAGGTATACAGAATCTCAAATATTCTGTTCATTGATGTTTTATGCAACTGGATCATAACAAAGATGCTACCTCAAGCAATTTCTCAGGAGTTCAATAATCAAGCCCCAATGAATTAACTCAGCTTAGCCTGATTCACAGTTTTTGATTGGTTTCACGACCATAAGATTCTGATAATCATCCTGTAGCCCAATCACCTTAGTATCAAATTTGACGAATAGCGGGAATCGAACCCAAAGTTTTGAAAATTGGTGTACATGTTCACTTTGGCATGACTCTCAACCAAAAAAAAGTCACCAGCTGTACCTGTAGAGCTAACTCCGCCATCTTGAAAAATGTGTGCACTTTTTCAGTTATTCGGTTATATCTCAATATCTGTTGATTTAATCGGGATCAATATGCCCAGGTAAAATGAAGGTAATTGAATTTAGAAAAAAAAAGGCCCCAACATAAATATTCGTGTAGTGCATGGTTCATCAGTAAATCGTAAAACAATATGCGATATTTCAGAAACTTACTCACAATTATTCTGATATACATATATTCCATCTACAAGTAAATGTCAGAGAGTCGGCGCCACATTCGAGGATCCTCGCAACAGCGATTGGCCATCACATAATACCAGTGTTGCCACATATCCAGGTTTTCTCAAGTGTGCCGACCTGTAACCTAAAGTAGCTCGAAGAGCAAGAGTTTGATGTTGAAATAAATGATTTGTAGCTTCTACATAAACTCGATCGAATCAGATATGAAATAATTCTGAGATATCTTGAATGAATATTGAAATAAAATTATTGCTTTCACTATTCATGCAAAAATTGCTGAACTTCATACAGATACAAAAAACGAAGGGTTCAAGGCACAAAGCAAGCAGTGGACAATGCGGATTCGCTAATAATACAGACATCTATTGAAATGTCTTCCTCTATACCCAAGTCACCGTTGTTGGAGAAGATGTAGATCTACTTATTCTACCCATAGCTTTGGCTACAGCAGAATGCAACATTTATTTTGTCAAACCAAAAAGAGGCAAAAAGGTACTGTTCCCGCGAACTACAAACCAGTACTAAATTACAGAACACTATCCTTTTCTTACATGACTTTGGATGTTGTGATACCACATCATGTTTCTTCAGAAAAGGAAAGTCGAAATGCTTCACACTCATGAAGGACCAGCCGTCATTACGAGAAGTTGCGAAGACTTTCAACAACCCGGAAGCAACGAGTGAAGAAGTATTTGCAGCACTTGAACGATTCGTCCTAGCTCTGTATGGTGCCCATACAACGGAAACATGATTGAACAAGCACCGGTACAATATGTTCGCTAAATCTGCTACCAACATCTTCTGTAGTCTATGGTAGATCTGGCTTCTCTGCCACCGACGGAAGCAGCTTTGAGGCAGCACTCCTTCAGAGCCAATCACCAGATACAAAAATGGTTGGGTAATCAAAAATGTCCTGAGCTTTGGGGATGGAAGAGGAGTGCTGTTGGTCTGGTACCTGTCCCAATTACCCTATCTGCTGCTCCAGATTCTTTGCTCCAGATAATTTCTTACAATTGCAAGGAAGGATGCACGGCATCGTTTTTTTCCCGTTTCATCCCTCATAAGTTATGAATACGGACGAACCCGATCCGATGCATGTATTCTCAAATGACGAAGATGACATGCTTCATTCTCCAGAAATTTAAGAAGAACACCAATCCCTACCCTATTTCCCTTGGTCTTCACGATGTTCTCTGAACATTACAGGATATCCCTTCTCGGGGGAACCAGAACATAAAAAAAGCGAATACTGATTGGATAAAACGTAATCATCATTTCAGCCTGTCTGGACTCGAATTGAACGATTATAGCTATAAATGCTTTTCTGCAAGTCACCAGGAGCGTATCTAACTGAATTATAGTTTGTCCAGTCGGTTTGCAGTAGAATATCATATTTTGCCAAATGGTTGTGGCGACATAAGTCCAAAACCGTGGATATTTCGAAAATAATTGAGAGATACTTTTTTACGAGAAATTTTGTTAGCTTCCTTTTACCTCATCACCTTTATCGCGATAAAGTTGACAGTTACCGAGATATACGTGAAAAACGGAAATATTGCACCTATTTTCCAAGATGGCGGCGCAAGCTCTACAGTTACGGGTGGTGACTTTTTTTTGGTAAGATGTAATGCTTAAAGGAACACGTACACCAATTTTCAAAACTTTGGCTCCGATTCCCGCTATTATTCCTAAGGTGACTGGGCTACTGTGGCCGTTACAATGTTCTGTGCTGATGTAAAGATGTTATTAACATTTCCCAGTGGTCATCTCTGAGTTTGAACGACATCGAAAATTACCAATACAGGGTGAGTCATTAGTTTGGCAGAGTGAGATAATGGACATACATTTCAGAGATGATCTAGGATCATGAGCAGCACATTTCCAAATCATTTCGCTTTCACAGGGTGACTCAGGAATGCCTGGCGTATCAAAGTCATACTTTTTCTTATGGGACATCTTGTATTTCATTGCATTTTCGCATTCTCCTTTGTGAGCTGATTTCATCAAACCATCACACTCCGGGTCTAGCGAGAATGATTACAGAGGTATAAGGTGTTCAAAATCGAGATTTCTCAACTTTAGGATTTTTCTGTGCCGAAACTATTGATTATTTGTCAAAACGGCTCCCATGTCCCTATCCCAATGCTATATAATGACATTCAGTTGGAACAGATACAATAAGGTTGATCAGAATGCTGAATCTTGAACCACCCTGTATTCGTCCTATTAAATGTCAGTAGATAGTGAATCAAAAGGTTAGGTTATATGTGAGTGGGGCAAATGCCTCCCCTTCACTCCAATCAAAAGTTGGGATAAGGATATGGAAGCCGTTTTAACCAATAATGAATGGTTTCGACGCGAAAAAATCTTAAAGTTGAAAAATCTTGGTTTTGAACACCCTATATCTCTGTAATCATTCTCGCTAGACCCCAAGTGTGATGCATTGAAGGAATCAGCTCACTAAGGAGAATGCGAAAATGCAATGAAATACAGGGTGGCCCATAAGAAAGACTATAACTTTGATACGCCACGCATTTCTGAGTCACCCTGTATGAAGCGAAATGATTTAGAAATTTGCTGCTCATGATCCTAGATCTCCTTTGGAATTTTGTTCATCTATCTCAAACAGTGAGGCCGGTATCTCACTTTGCCACACTAATGACTCACCCTGTATATTATATTGATGAAGTAATAAGTCGATTACACACTTTCGAAGCTGTTTTTTCACATAAACAGGATGATCTCACCTCAAATTGGGATGGAGATGAGAAAAAACATTCGATGATATAGATGAGGATATATTGGCAAAACGCATCGACTCGACTCCTTTTGAGCTATTGAGGAATCATGTCGAGTTTACACGATTCATTCGAGAAACAGTATACCAAATATCGAATAAAGATGGCTGATTCGAGTCGATTCGTGAAATGAAATCTTCCTCTAGATGTCAATGACAGAAAGGAGTCGAATTACTCCCTAACAGAAATTGAATAGTGAAACCACTTTATCACCCGTTCAACTACTGCCTGCTTACCTCAATGCCTGTTATACTACTTCGTTTCGTAGGAAGCTATATCATCATTATTACTTCTCTTCTTACGCTGAGTCTTGAGAAAGTGGTAGTTCACGCTCAGTCATATATAATAGTCATTTTATTTTATCGATGGAATGAAATAGGCGTGAATGGACCACAGCTTTCATAAGATTTGACACATAGGAGCTAGGTATTCAAACACTATGAAATATAAGGGCGATGATAAAAGAAATGATTCTCCACCAGAAATGACTGAAGAGATTAACAACCAGGTATTTTATTGAATGATCCAGACACCCGCGGGACTACTTCAAATATCGTTATAACATTTAATAGCCCAAGTGCTTCATCACGCTTGGACGTACGTTGCATACTTCGATTCATGATATTTGTTATCGAGATTTTTGAAATAAGTCCTGGGATACGATGAGAACGTTGAATCCAATAATAATCTCATAAATTCTGACAAGTTAGTTCTAGTAATTTGGTTTTAACTCACTTTGATCCAAACGGCATCTTTGGAGTTGTATCCAAACCATTTATCATCTTTGTATTTATATGATACTTTTTGCTCATCATCCCAGACTTCATTATAGTCCTTATAATTGATGCAAATCTGGAAACATGAAGAGTAAATTCGATTTGGTTCGACAAGAATTTCGACAAGAATTTTTTGTTTAGAAATGTTGATTTTGTAAAGTTGTTCTTGAGAATAGAATATTAACAGTTTTTGTTTCGTTCTGATGTTCATGAAAATCAGGTGTGGAAAACTACGTCCGCTATAATATGGTAATGTGAATTAGTATACTCCTATGAATTCGAGTAACTTCCTTTAATGATTATTCCATTGTACAGAGCAGGTATCTCTCCAAACGTTTCTCCATCAGGAATCTTCATGGAAAGAAAGTTCTTACGGAAAAGTCTTGGGTTAGCAGAGGTGGCCAACGAACGTCACTAAATCTTGGGATATGGCGATCAGAATAAAGGCCGTTATTTGAGTATCTGACCAAACTTCATGAAGCAAGTATTCGGCTGATTCTAAGACGAAATGTTCATCTATACATAGATCCTGAAATGCTTCTTTTCCAAGATAAAAGTTAGAAGTATTGATTGTTGTTCTTCATGATTACCCTGTATGAGCTTTCATGAATGCTGATTTCAGTCCGGTTGGTGACTGAGAAAGACCTAAAATTTCAAAATAAGATACAAAGAGGTTATTGGGTATATTGAAAGGCACCCACATCAGAAAATGGAGACTAATCACCTTCTTGACTCGCCTACGACTTGGCCTATAATTTTGTCAACAAATAACGATATTTTCCGGACTTGTTACGTGAAATACCATTGTATTATATCCTTAGGAACTGAGTGACATTCAAAAATTTTATAGAAAGCAAAAACGTTGTATATACAATTGGATAATCTAATGAACATATCGAACTTAAAAAAAAGAATTACATAGCTGGTAAGTACCTACCTTATTCACCATAAATATCGGAGAGGAAACCTACTGCGGCGTTGCTGGAATCATTATTTCGAATGGAATAACACCAAAATGAAGTTTTCTGATACTGTTGAGGATATCACGAAATACCATTGAAATTGGGAAACAGAATTTTAAGCAATTAATGACAAAACGATTTTCATTGAAAATTCAACACTCTATATCTTGAGAAGAGAGCATTTTTGGACCAATATTCACATGAAGTTTTGGTCTAAGGACCATTCAAATAGTCACCCTTCGAAGTTTGGTCGAATACTTGAATAACACCATGAATAATAAAGGTTTGTAAATTTATGATATTGGGCAAACAACGGTCATTGAGTATTATGCCTGTGTGGAGTGTCACTTCATCATGCTGAAGCTACACACGCCAGACAGTAAAACAGAATTGTCATCAGGCAACTAAGTGTGGTCTGTGATGTGGCATATTGACAGACCTAATTGAAGGAGACTTGTTGAACAGAGAATACAACAAATTCACTTTCGAATTGTGAGCCTGCTGATAATGTTTTTCATTGTTGATATCCTAAAATCACATTTCATCATGTAACAGAACCTCTCAATGATTTGTCTCTAATCAGAAATTGACGTATTGAAAATTTTTCTTTGGATTATCCGTCATTTCTTCTGAACCTTGTACTAATAGTCTGAGGTTCACACGTTGTCGAATGCCATCATCAGGAAAAATGTTACATCTTTGTATAATTGAGAATTTACAGCGATACTGTTAAATTGATTGTATTACTGAATCAATTCGATACATGGGATATCTTCAATATCATGATTGCGACAATTGAATTCTTGAAAAATAGCATGTGGGTTGAGAGAAACTCTGCCAATCAACTGTATATTCCTTATGATATCAATCACTAGCCTTCGTACCAAAGCCCTTCATTTTCGAAGAAGTCGGTCTTTTGAATTTCGCTAGCCTAGTCAACATGATGATGAAACTTGAAATTGATGGAAGCTTGGTAAAAATTGAAAATTATTTTTCTATAAATGTGCAGGTCTTGATAATCAATATCTCTACTGGTTCCATTACAACTTTTAGATATTTCATTATTATTGCACAGGAAAACTATTTTTTCAAGGAAATTAATCGTTCTTGGACAGATAATATGTCCATTGTTACTTTTTATTCATTTTGACTAAAAAAATATTACCGCGAACGCGCGAAGTATCGTGATATGATAATTGAACCATGTATTTATATATTGGATTGAAACTTGTCTCACTCATCATCCCTGATCTTTCGTTTTCCTTGGGCAATTTGGATTTTTTTTTCAAACAACCCAAAATTATATACTTTGTAAATGAAATTTCCTATAAGAATTTGAATGATACCAAGAATGATGATGCTCATTCGCAACTCTTTCTCTCTTTCTTGACCTGAATTTTCATACATCTTTTATGTTTCTCCATGAGTATTAAACAATAGAGGTTGGGTCCACTGAACATGGCGGACAGTGCTCGGTAATTCCAGTGATTTTTTCCGTTATTCATCTACCTCTGTAGCCAAATGATATATTCATGATAAATTATACACGCTGCCTTGGAAGATGCGATTTATTGAAAATCTGTACCGTTGATGAGGAATACTCCTCATGAGATATAGTTCTGGAAATTGATATCACCAAAATGTTCACGAAATTATGTCCAATTCGTTTTCTTTGATTTCAGTGCAGCTTTTGTGATCGCAGTTGGCCAAGAAATGATGTTTGAATAATTTTCTTCTGCTCTTCAGAGTATATGATTTTGAGTAGTATTGTTTGGGGAATAAATCAAAATCGTCCTTGGAATAGGAAAGTGCAGGGGTAGGATCGACCAAATTCTAACACACTATTTATACCAGGTGTCAAATTACTCATCAGACAAGCCATAGTTTTCAGAGTTCTGGAAGTCAGGGTCATCTCCATCAGTGAAACCGGATGGGAGATATGAAATATTGCGAAATTCTCCAATCACGGCCAATGCCAAATTTGAATCTCATATCTTCGGAGCTCCACGAACTATGACTCTTGAAACTTTCCTGATATCTGCAGTATATGTATAAAAATACAATATTGGACATGGCCCTCATAAGGGGTGTTTTGAATCAATGTAACAATTTTTGAATGTTTGCATTTTTCAAATTAGCAAGTGTAGTAACTCTGATGATCATAGGCCTGTTAATAGTCATAGAGTGCCTCGAACATTTCATTTCACATAGGTTTGAGAGTATTGTCACGCTTGTCACTACTGACATATCCGAATTGTCATCATTCTCAAATTTAAAACTTCAGATCTGAAAATTGAATAGGTGTCCCTGCGAAATCGCGTTCTCGAGTATGTACGGTAACGAATGGCATAAATTCTTGGAATGAAGATTTTCATTCAAATTCGAGTTGCCCAATGATGATCTGAGACTGAATTGTTTATTCTAGCTTGAAATTCCAATTTTCACTTCATGGAAACACATTATATAATATTGCTGATATAACTACAAAGTGGAATTCAAGTGCCTTTGGTGATACGCCACTGTTGGATTTTGGAATTATTATTTAATCATTATATTTCAACAAGGGCAGAGGCAAAGCCCATTTTGCCCAATAGTTACTTGAACTTTAAATTAGTTACACCTATTATTGTGTCCAGTCCAATAAAGTTTTGATGATACACTAACTAATACCTAATTCAGTCATCACTATGATTGTTGCAATTGCAACAAGTCGTAACGGTTTTTGAAACTGTTTACACTGGGAGCTGACACAACAACAAGAGGTAATGCATTCCACTTTGAAATTACTCGATTCGATAGAAATTTTTGTCTGAGTGTGATTAGAAAATTTTCTTGCTTCAACTTCATGGTGTGGCCTCTCAATCTATCATCGTTCTGTAGATGGAATGAGTCGGATAGGTCAACAGAGAAGTCATCATTCAGAATTCTATACGTCAAAATAGCGTCTCCTCGCTGAAATCTGCGAGTCTGCACTCGTTCAATGAAGGTAAACAGAAATATTATATTGTCAAGAATGGATAAAAACTATAATTTTATTGAGAATATTTGAAATTCTCATTCATTCAGGAACAGTACAATAACCTAGTCTAGATCATATTCTTAGAATTATTTAGCTTACAGGATATCAGTAGAGAATTACGATATTCAAAGGAAATAATAGTTCGGATTTCAATTTTACTATTATTATTCAAGTGAAGTCGCTGACGAGCAGAAACTGCTGGTTTTGGATTCTTCCTAATCGAGGTGAATACACTAGTTCTTATGCTGAATCAATTACCACTACCAAAACCAAGATGAAAAGGTATTAGAAGAAAAACCGGCAGTTGTGGTTCGGACAGTGGACCGTAAAGTCTTTTCAAATCTTCTAATAGAATTAAATCTCAAACTCATTTGCATCATGTCTAAACTTCGTGAGTGGCAGTTCCAATCCTTCAATGAAAAGCGAGCCCTTCTGTAAGTACCTTTTTTGAGTATTACTAGTTTTAGTTTTCCTGTTTTGTTTCGATTTGAGTTGGATGTATCTTGCTGGATAACTAATGGTCAATTTATTTCATGCCCTAATTGTTTTTATTCAAAATGAATAAACTTGTGAAGTGGAGTTAAATTATTTAGTTATCATTTTCGAAAAAACCTCTTGCAAGCGAGTAAGTTCGAGTTGCGATAGTGGGCGTTAAAGCCACTCGTGACAATATTACCCACCGAGGTGGAAAGTGATTCATTTCTGTCATGAGATCATTAAGTTAACCGAGACGCAAAGCGTCGAGGTTAGCTATAATGTCGAGGAAGGAATGGAACTTCTTACCAAGGTTTATATACTATTTTATTTACAACCATCATATTTTGATCAAAATTAATAAATCTCAGTTTCTTCCTGAACATACCTGAAATATTACATAAGTGAGGACGGGAAGTGATGGCAGGAAGTAGTGAGGGGCGAGAAGTGAGGGCAAGAAATAGAGGTGTGTAATGTGACACTTTTCAACCTTCAATGACGTTAGTAATTACAATATTACATATATGGATATGAATAAAATGACATTCTATCTCTTATAGAACTCATTTGTGTCTCATGTTTTTTGCTCAGGTGTGTTTCAGCATGAGGAGTGTGTCTACACTTATATGAGGACGTGAAGTGAGATGTTCGAGGCACTGTAGGTTGTCTGGATTCGATTATCTGCCTACAGAATAGGATGAATAGATGAACGAATGAAATCACGAGAATCATTGTTAGCACATTGGCCTTTTTATTCACCACTTTTGAGACTTGATTTTATACTTATGGTCAAGAGATAGAAAAAGAGTTACGGCTAAGTTTGATGATAGTTCGCAAAAAAATATCACCAGATTTGAACCAGAATACAAGAATCTATACTTGTTAGGAATGGTTGTGAGATAGCTCTTCTCCCTCTTATCTCCCAGATGATATTTTTTCATAGGTATCATCCAGGAAAGCCCTCATAAAGAGTTAACAGCAGACAAGTGTTTCTGGCTTTCGGCACTCATCATTATGGTTAATTCTTCATGATAGCTATGTATTATATATTCTCCCCAGTTGTTCGGAACAGTGACTTCAATATTCCTGTCATGAAGGAAGGATTCGTGGACTTTATCATGTATACTTCGCTACTATTGATAATATATTCAAGACAACTATCATAAAGTAAATGAAGCGCTTTTTTTCTCGTAATAATTATCATGTTATTCAATAAGAATTGATGTTTCTGAGTAATTAACCAAGAAAAGATCATATCTGAGATTTCTGTAGCTATACGGAAACAATTATACTCACTTCAGAATACCGTAGAAACCCATTGTCATCTCCAGGACCTATCCCAGAGATTGGTGAATGAATGGTATGCTGAGAACTATTCTTCAGAGTAAATGATATCCCATAGAATGCTACACTCAAAACCATCTTATTTCTGGTGAGACCAGCATTCAACCAGTTATTGGCTGCCGAATGAACGCTCAGGTGGTTTTTTTCCCACTCATATTCGACAGAAGAAGGATACAAAGCATTGTGGTTGCCGGTGTATGAACTCCATGATCCATACATGTCGAATGTGTTGATGGTGATCCAGTCCAGGATCCTATGCAAAAAAGTTTAATACTTCATCAATTGGTTATCGTTGGAGAAATCTGAAGACTTGTGTGATATTTATTGCTCATTCAGTATTCTATGCCACGATCATAAGATGATTCATCATTAGGTACACGAGGACAAGGTAAGTTACGTTAAAAGCGAAGACGAGTGTCGTAAACTTTTTGCGAAAACTTTGAAATCGGAATTAAATCCATAGAGTATTTATATTTCAATTCAATGTGAATACGATTCATCAAATCATACAGAGTTACGAATACTTCATAAATATATTTTGAAATTTTTTTCAGAATAGTCATTTGTATTTCAAAAAGCATTAATTGAATTTCATAATAGTCTCAATTCAATTCCAGAAAGCGTCAATTGTCTTTCAGAAAATATCTTTTGATTGATTTACAATTCTGGTAATGCTCCCAATTCACTCTTTCTCACTTACTTATTCATCTTTATCGCATCGTACCCAGTATCCTCAGGATCCGAGCGTACAGAGGCACTAAGCAACCAACCTTGTTTGTCGAACTCATTTCTGATCTTTCTGAGGAACGTAATGTAGTTTATTTCGTCGGATAATTTCGGATAGTACCAATCGATGTCGAGTCCATCAAACTTGTAGGTCCTGATGAAATGGCTTGCGCTGTTGATGAATGCTGCCGTTTTAGCTGCGTCAGCCGCAATATTCGAGAACAAACTGGCATTACTGGACTTGCTGCCTCCAACACTCAAAAGTACCTTCAGTCTCTTGTTTTTCACTTTGAGGTTTGTTATTCTTCGATAAAGACCACCTATAAAAATAGTTCGTATGGTATAACTGCAGTTTGATCAAATAACCCAAACATTATTCATCAAGTATTTTTATGTTGGAATAATTCCAGAAATGCAACCATTCCTCACCTTCATTGAATTCACCTAGATCAAGTGTTTCATCTTGCACTCTTAGATCCCCTGTTCCATTTATCCCTACATAATCATAAGTGATATGGGTGCAAAGACTAGGTTCAAAGTCTTCAGGATTCACTCCATGATATGACCACCAACTAGCATAAGTGCACATCACATTCACTCCGGTTGTATCTACTACTATGGGATCTTTCATTGCGTTTGCTGTAGATGATTTCGAATTGATCTCTTTCGGGGTTGGAGTTGATTCTGATTCTGTCCTTGGATAACATCCTAGATTATGATTTTCCCAGGATCCTCCGTTGCAGTAGTTTTTACCAGATGATGTACCGCTTTCAGTTTTATAACCACCAGGACAACTATAAATAATGCTTGAACCAGAAACAGTGTCAGCACAATCGATGACTGTATTTTTATCGTCTTGGCAAGAAACTATCGTTCCTGGAGGAAAATTTGGAATCGGGCATAATGCTGAAATGATGAGTAGAAGGCAAAATAAAATAAAAATACAGAATTTCAACCACAGATTTCAGGGATAAAATTGGTGAAACAATGTTCAGATAAACATGGGTCCAGAAATGTTCTACTGGAGGGTTGAAGTCATCTGCTGAAGAACCAGAGATGATAGTTTCTTGTTATTATTTTCAGAAACCTTTGTGATTGAGTAATCAAATTCTGTACATGTACCTGACATTTCATGCCTATAATTCAAGAATGTTGAGAATTCCTTGAAATCTTGATCAGGAAAGGAAGAAATAGGAACTAGGGGCACTTATTTTACCAACTTTCTGGTTTATACAATTATTGGGGGCAGTTTGACTAGAAAATGATTTTTCAATATTTTTTTCTCGAAAATGCTACTCTTGTTCATTTGCATTCATCAAGTTCGAGATGAATTGATTCTGAGAAAATGCTACATTGTTGAAAATAAACTTTTTCTCAGGGTACGTATACCATATTATTTTTCAAATAAATCTTTTTATTGCACTCCTCATATTCCGAATAAAACATCAGAGGTAAATGTTGAGAAAAGGTGTATATTCCATCACAACATAATTTTGTGAAAATCCGTTACCATATTGAGGATTGGAAGTAGAATTTTGATATCGCTTCATCTCGAAAATGTCGAGAGCTATGGAAACTCAACGAATGCATCATCTCAGAGTGACAATCACGATATTTTCATATTATCTGGCGAATTTTCCAGAAATTACTCGAACGAAGCAATTGGCGAAAAAAGTGCTTCTACGTCCACCTGTTTTGCACGCTCCTAATGAAGATCGCGTGAAAATTTCCGAATCAGCTATAATAAATCATAAACATGTAGGAAATCTGTAAAATTCATCACAAAGGGATCCAAGAGTATTCACATGAATCCATCTTCTTGAACTCTCTTTTAGATCGCTATAACCTCTCAGAGGTAGGGCTTCGCGAGACCAAGACCAAAATCTTCCCAAGACTTAGATCAAGACTTGGTTCTCGAGACCAAGATAAATACCAAAGCTCTTTTCCGAGAGCCTTATTGGTCTTGGTCATGAAAGAAAAGTAATAAACTCAAATCTGATCAATATTAAGAAAAATCTGATGAAGAATGTAATGTCATTTCATTTCAGTTATTCATTTGTCATATGACAGGCTCTTGAATTTTTGTTTTCTCAAAATCTGAAATACAGTTTTTATTTTCAGTATTGCAGTTTCAAAGCTTACTAAAAATTGGTGCATGTTGTGAGGTCACAGTGGTCCATACCTCCTCCTATTGGAAATAGAAACGAAATCAATACAAAAGTTATTGGAAATAAAAACGAAATCAATACAAAAGTTATTTGGTTTGAATTTGGAATTTTTTGAAATATCTTGATGATGCGTTGTTATCAGTTTCGCCCCTTTGCCCTATGGAACCATTTTTCCTGGCCTGTCGTGCGTTGGTCTGTTTGCTGTTTGAGTCCCATCCAATGTTTATTCATTGATTCTTATTGGAAATGATATTCTTATGGTGAAAGGAAAAATTCATTCCGCTTACTTGATACGCACAAATTGACAATTTCGGAGTTATATGGATATATTTTTTTTTATATTTGAATTGAATGATTCAAATTTCTAGACGCATTTTGATCCAAGACCAAGACCATCAAGACCAATACCAGGAGCAAGACTACATTTCCTTTCTTCAAGACCATGACTGAAACTGATCAGTCTTGGTCTTGGTCTTGATCTCGAGAAGCCGTACTCAGAGTAGCGTTTCTAGACCCATGTTTGAATGAATTATTTTGCACTATCTTCGTTCCTATAATCTGTGATTTCTTTGTGAATATGGAACACCCTGTATAATTGCTCATAACCCACTCACAATGACAAACAGGAAGCTGCAACATAGATGAACAGTAATACTTAGGATACTTTGAAGACAATTTGTAACCTTTGTTACAAGAGAACTCAAGTATAGTATCAGAAGTTGAAATGTCTCCAGGTCCCATTCCACTGTCGTTCTCCAGTCTCCATATACCATTATTAGGATATGAGGGAAGAGTACATTCCTCAACATAGCTCATCTTCCGTTTCTTGTCCAACCATTGGTAATATTTGGAAACTTTCGTGAATAATGCATTATTCTGACTATTACATGATGCATATTGGACTGCTGGTGCAATGCTCACTAAACCATGGACGTAGTATCTGTTGTCATCTGGATTTCGGAAAACTAGACCACTGCCACTGTCTCCCCTACATACGCTTTTGTTTTTTCCCAAGAAACCACCACAAATCTTATCATCGAAATTGTATCGATCAGCCCAGTCATATGGTAGCTCATTTGCGCAAGTTGTTTGATCTTTATATGGAATTATCAGGGTTCTCAGGTGGTCAGCAACTGTGTTATTTTCGGTGATACCCCAAGCCGCGATCTCAAATCAAATAAATACAATGAGAGCATTATTGTAATAAAATACTTGTATCTTACTAACTTCCCCACTATTTCCTGCATGTAGGTGAATACCATTTATATTATCTATACAAACTGGTTGAACAGCTGGTCCAAGCTTGAATAAGCTTCTGGTGATGATCAGAGCGATGTCATACTGATAATGCCGAGTAGTTCCCCTGAACTCTTCGTGTACTATTATACCAGAAATCTATAAAGCCTCAATAAGGAAAGATTCGAGAAATGTGAAGGGGTTCGTATTTGTACCTCTAGATATTGTACATGTTTATCTCTAGCATCACCATACTTATTGTAATATTTTCCAGCAGCAACCTGAATTTCACTCTCATTGAAGGCTTGTGCATAGCTGTTGGTAACGCAATGTGCAGCTGAAAATAAATAATGGAACTAACTCCTGCACGGTCCGACCGCTCACTAATTTCTAAAGATAATAATCGCATACCAAAAATATTAAATAAAATTGGTTTGCATCAACTTATACCTGTCTGCAGAGATGAAAGGACAAAGTATAGGCAGAAGCTGTTCTATAACTTAATCAAATTCAGCCTTTGTGTCAGTTCTAGAAATGATCCAAAATATGAATACGTGTGAGGAAGCAAACTGCCTATTCCTATATCTAGTATATTGTTTAACAAGCCCGAAATTATGGTCATTCCTCACGAGAATAAGTGCTGCAAATGATATGAGCGAGAATCTAGCAATAAGCATTCCGTTCGTGTAAGAAACTATACTTTTTCCACGGCTGTAACAGATTACAGGGATTACAGCGGGATTTTTGATTTTTTCAGCTTGTATCCATCTATCTGATTTCCTCTCATGTATTAACTTATCTATTAGTCAGAGTTGTCATTGCTGGAAAGTTGACCTTTGCATCAGGAAGATGAGATCTTGTGGAATAATAACACAATGAAGTCATTGTGATATCAGTTGAGAAAATAAAATAGATAACAAACAAAGCACATCACTGGTCTATCGAACACATTGAAACAAAAACAATTTTGTGTTATTGCCGCGAAAAATAACATATTCACTAATCTTCAGGTACGAATGCGTGTTCTCTCTTGTTTCTCCTAATCAACCATTTTGTCAGAATCAATCCAAGAGGTATTTGAATATTACACATCTGTCGGACCAGACCCAAACTAAACATTGAACAATTATTATACATATGAACTAGTAAAACCATTTTCTCAGTAGAAAACTTATTCATCTAGGTACTCACTGAATCGAAGGTAGGCTTTTTTTTTCTTATTCAAGGTTACAAAGTTGTTAATTCACTTCTACGGAAGGAATCAAATATTAACTCCCGTGGTAAGAAAAATAAATTGGCATCAGCATGCATCTTTTGCCGTCGATATACCCATGAAATCTGTGCAATCCAATTTTCAATTGTATTTATCGCTATTATGAATCAAGTCGAGATCATTTCCTCTTCCGATTCTAATGATATTATAGGCCTCTTCATATTCTGAACGTACTTCAAATCGAAACTTGCAAGTGTCAAATGGACTTTCGTTCGAATGGCGTCAATTGTTCATGGCATACCATATACCTTTGTGATGCATAATGATTGGGATCGAGAGATAGACCGCCTGAAGCACGGTTTCAAGAATGATGGTTCAAAAGAAATGCGTTCGTTGATGAGATCATATGTATATCATGAAAGCTCATATTAATTTCCTCCCATGTGTGTTAAATGTCCTTTGCTTTGCATCGTTCACACGCAGGAAGGAATGCATCGAATACCTCTCCTTCCTTTATATACAAAATAGCTATTATGACTTTCTTACTCACCAGTGAGAACCATCCGGGTAGATATCAGCGTACCCCCACAGTTATTGATGAATTGTCCATTATTTTTAATGAATATAGCTACAATCCAAGGATATTCCAGTTCGGTGGTGTCTACACCATTGAATATCAGTGGAGTTAAGTTGGTGTCGATTTTTTTTCCACAAACTGTAAAGTGATGATACATTATGATGGTGTCAATCTATTCAATCTCAGAGTGTTACCCACTGTGAAGGCAAGAAGTTTATCATGAAATTCTGATGATCATGAAATTATTTAAAGTTTATTTTACTTACTATGAGACAACGTTATATTCTACCAACCTTATTGATAAATACCTGCTCAAGTGATGAGCGTCTATATTCAGACGACGTGCAGTTCTGAACAACTAAGTATTCGAACTGATTTATAATTCAAAATGGATATATTTCTGAAAATTTGTCAGTTAACAGACAGTCTGAATTTCAACATCATGAAACTTCATCAGTATATACATATCGTCCAATCAAAAGGTGTTCAATAGTGCTCGTCTCGTAACTTGAATCAGCTAGAAATTTCAATAGAATCATATGTTTATTCATAGGCGTCCGGAAGCGAATCTTGAGTTTTCAGGACCGGCTCAGGTCAAAATGAGCAAACATCTGACAATTTCTGGAAATTTCCTGGTTTTCCGATCATATCTTGCAAACGACTCACCAGGCGAAAAATATCATCGTATTCCAAGTTGAAGAGCATCAGATTTTGCGTTGGAGGTTTCCTCCATCTTTCTTATTTAAAGATATATAAAGTCACTATCGTCATTCGAGAAGTGTCAGCTTCTACTACGCAGAAGATTTCAGGAATCGATGTATTTCGAAACTTTATAAACAAGAGTACCATTTATGAGTAATAATTTTCAGATTTCCATATTTCTTGAGGACACTGCCAACAATTCCACTGCCAACAATTCCATGAACACAAAAATTGGTTTGAAGAGTGCCCCTAATCCCACCTATTCCTCATGCCCCTGATAAAAATTTCGAAATATTCTTACGATTTTCAAATCGGGAATGAAAAGTGTGGAATATGTGAATAATTTCGTTTTTATCTCAAGCTCTCTTTCAGTTGGCTATAACCCCCTAGGAAAAAGAGGCCATTTCTAAACCCATATTTATATGAATTTTGTTACTATTCTCATCCCTAGAATCAGTGATTGACATATTTCTATTTAATTTCGGAAAACCCTGTATATTGGTCTCAGTACGAATTTTGTATGCCCACTCAACTCAAAATTGAATGCATCATGACATGTATTCTATTTCCTATTTTTCAAGTCATTCACGTGAAGTAGATAGGTGTTTTCAAATCACAGTCGTCTAGGAAAAGAGTATTTCATTGCTCAAAAATTGATGAAAACTGCCTTTTCCAAATGACGATAGTGACCTTATGAATCAAGAGATGAGAACGATGGATTCAAAATTCGGCGCAGAATTTTATGCTCATTAACTTGGAATATTATCATATTTTCAGTTCAGTAAGTCGTTTGCAAGATATGAGCTGAAAAACGAAAAAACTACAAAAATGTTTATGCTTTCCGCGTTTTTCAAGCTGAGCCAGTCCTGCTACGAGGCAGCAAACTTCAGAATCGCTTCTGGGCTCCTCAAAACATATGATCTTGTTGATAAACCTACTACTAAATTCATGTTTTCGAAAAAATATCATCTGATCGGACTATATTAGGTAATCGTGGAGTCTTCATCTGATAATATTGTCAATTCCATACCCGATCGATCTATCAAAAATCAATTGAACTTCCTGTCTCCACATGAGAAAGTGTGTATCTTGCTTCTCTCTATCAGTTTATAACATCCCATATAGCACGAGTACGTCCCCAAAACGTACTGAGAACGTCTGGCCAAGATGTTTGGTACATCCTGGGGACGTCCAGATTTGGTACGGTCGACGTTCAGGTACGTACTGGGGATGTCCAGATTCCGCGCTTTTGTACATCCTCAGTACGTCCATTCAGGACCATGGATACATGAATCAACGTAGATCCGCCTCTTTTCACTCAGATAGTCAAAAAAGAGATTCAGATAAAGTAGAAAGTCTTATTTTGAATGAAAAAAATCAAAAAAAAGTTTCTACCGGGGATCGATCCCACGACCTTTAGATCACCAGGCAGATGCTCAACCTATTACTCTGAAGAACACTTGTTGATTAACAGTATACAACAAGCAATATTATGTGCGAATGCCGATTGATTTATCACATCGATACTTTTATAGAATTGGATAATCACGACAGAGAATACCTGAATAAATGTTTTGTGATCTGATGGGGCCAGTGAATGATGAATTTATTGTGAGCATTGTATTATGTTTATGTTTGCTAGGTTCCTTTATATGAATAGATTTCAGAGATCGAGGGTAGAAATTATTTATGCAATGATTTCGATTATCATTGAACAATTTGTTTAATCCCGTAAACAAAAAGTCGATAGCGTACGTCCCGGACGTTCAGACATCTGAATGGGACCTAAACTGGATGTCCCCAGGACGTCGAGTGCTATATGGGATCAAGTTCCACCCAATATAAAAAAAAGTTAAATTCACCTGGTTGACAAATAGGTTGTGAGTCCCATGTTCCATGGCTGCAATATAGACTTTGTTGCCTACCTAAAGTCTCATAATACTGAATACACTGATATGTGAGATATGTTCCATCAGTTGCCTTGGTGCAACTGATTTTATTTCCAGTTACATCCTGACATACTACGCTCAAGATAGGCGTTGAGTATATTGGAGGACATAGTTCTGTAATGAATAATTTACCAACTTATCAATATGTAATATGGAATATTACGACACTTATTTCAGTTTCATAATGGGATACTTCACCGCACCATCGCTGAAAAGGGTTTCATTACCGCACTAGTGCAGTGAAGTATGAGTAGATAATTGCAAATTTGAGTTTGCAGAGACAAGGACGAATTAGAGTTGATTGACCATAATTATAATCAATCTATAACCTTAATATTCATCAATACTTTCGTGATCGGAATTCATGTCAATATTTTTTTTCTCAGATTTGAATATATGCGTCTTAGTTGATAGTTCGCAAAATTAGTGACAACCGGGAACAAAATAGATTCAAGAGAGCTAAACTGCCCCACATTTCGAGTGGGACAAGCAAACATTTCTATCATTTTCGAATTTTGAACTTCAGAACTCTGAATTGGATCAGCCAATTTTTTATTCCTTGCTAGATTTCAAAAGTCATTTCATTGAGTACAACTTCAGTACTGTTCCACCTTCCCGACATTATGACCTACAGGGTGATATCTGAATATGTTATAATCTTCGAAAAGTTTGGGATCGCTCTGATTCACAGGGAATTTTCAAAATGTTTTATTGAGAGCTTCAAAATGAAGGATAACAAGTGGATTTTGATTTCAGAAATATCAACTATGATCGTTAAATATTCAGTATTCTTGGTCCTTTGTGGAATATTGGATTATATTAGTATCGTAAATTCATATTAAAGATATCCGATTATATCTAAATATGAATTTTCACAATACTTGTATCGTGAATATCTATCACGTGATCAGTTCCTATAGTGATATTTTACGGGATCGGTAGCAATTTTTTCAAGGACGAGCCGTAGATGAGTCTTGGTAACCTGTCACGTATATTGATTTTTCTGTACCTATTTTCTGATCTACAAAGCACCCAGCGAGCACAAATACATCTCAGAGATGTTAAAAGTACGAGATGTTAAGACATAGAACCTCCACTGCGATGTTTTGTTTATACAGAAATAGAACTTTCATAGAACAACCAATGTCCGCCGCAGGCGGCGTTTATAAAGATATACTTGGAATATGTCAAAAAATACATTTTCCCTGTTTTTTTTTACTTTTAATGGACATAACATAACCTTTCCCAAGCGTTTTGCGCACATTCATTCGCTGCAAATGAAATATTCCTGGTGGATATATATTTAAGAAGAAAAGAATAAAATTAAAAAAAAGCTCTTCCTTGCTGGGGATTCGAACTCAGGCTGTGTCGAGTCAGTCGTTGAACCACAATGGTGATACCAGAATGGTCGATGTTTGACTCGACCCCCATCAAAAGTTAACGTGGTAACTGTGTGGGCAGGTTTGAAACGTGACTGGTATGCCCAAACAGCTGATTGACCAGACTGATGGTCAGACTTCAAACTGAACGTATGTGCCCGGTCAAACCACAGACTTGACACAGCCTCACTCTATAGAGATTGAATTTTTACAATCCTAGCACCTTGTCCCGTGAGCCAGGGGAACCGTATTGATGAATGATGTGAATAGAAAGACGTCAACATGCACTTAGTAAGATAATAATTATTAGCATTGAGGCTGAGAATAAGGGCGAGTCAGAAGAAACATTATAAATATTGATACAAGAATAACATCCATATCATATTTCGATACGATTCTGTATGTCGAATTGAATGTTCATGGAATATTTGTTGCCAGGATGAACATATTATTCTATGATCATTCCGAGCAGAACAGAACACGTTCTCAGAATATTATTCGTGATGTATATTCTGGTGCTGTTTGGGATACTATTACGAATTATGGAGGTCGTTGGTATTATAATAAATATCTAATGGAATGAATGAAAAAGACACTGCAAATGCGAATGCGAACAAGAACAACATGCAAAATCGAAAAAAATTAGAATTCATCGTATTGTGACGTGAGCATTGTGGTGGGCCAAACAAAGAAATGGCTAAGAAGAACAAAAACAATAGAATAGAATAGAATAGAATAGAATAGAATAGAATAGAATAGAATAGAATAAAATATTTATTTCACCAATTTACAAATCTTATGTTTTTGGCAAGTCAGGTACAAAGGACATATTAAATGTAGTAGATAAGAAAAAACACATCTCTGGCAAATAAAACAGACTTTTACAGTGACATGTACCACATATAAAACAATAATTCGTGAGGACTTATTTTTCTTCCTCAATTCACAAAAGGAGAGAAAAACAAAATTGGAATTGTAACTTGCAAAGCAAATATGAGCTGTATGAACGATGTTTTTTTTTCAGTTGTTTTCATAGAGAGAATGATGAATCTGGTGAAGATAAGTATTCCTCAACAGAGTAGTAACATAATCTCAGAAAGTGGTCCTTGATGACTTTTTTGAAATATTTGAGGTCAAGGTTGCCACATATTTAGGTAATTTGTTAAACAAATTCAAATTCAAAGAATTACTTTCGGATACTTCTAGTCGATATCTTTGTGGTCTCAACTTGTCAGAATCCCTCGTTGCATAATCATGGAAATCGGAATGCACGATAAATTTATCAAAGTTTTTGTGTATCTCTAAGAGAGATTGAAATATGTATAAAGATGGAAATGAAAATATCTTGAGTTTTATGAAAAGTTCTCGACATGGGGTATTATAATATATTCTATTATAATAATTTCAATATCCTTGAAAGACTTCTTTGGGAAGTTATATTACGTCTCAAAAAACATCCGCTTGCCAATATTTTTAAAAGATCCCAAAACATCCCACCCAGGTAGCACATGGCGACTATACGACGTCTAAAAGGCGGCATCACATTCGGCCAAAAGACGTCTTTAATACTATCCAAACTGACGTCTAAATGACGTAAGTAATTCACAGCTAAATGACGTCACTTTTTAGGTCTTTTGGACGCCAATGCGGTCTTCAATTATGACTTGGAATTGACTAGTTTAGGACGTCATAGCATCGTCTAATTCTCAAAAAGTAGACGTCATAGCGACGTCTATTTTTCGAAAAATATAAAAATCAAATATATTCAAAATACCTCATAAATGTATGAATAAAAATTGAACTGTTTGCCTGATCCTTAAATTGCGGCCAAACCACTTCGGTTTTCATCGGAGTCAACTGCCCAGACAGCACCAGATATTCCATGAATCTCCCGATCATATTTCCTTTTGGAATATTGGAATCTACTAGGGATAATCTGAAATATTCCGGAATATCTTTGGAATATTCTCTGAATATGCGAATGGGAATTCCTTAAATATTCATAGAATATATCCAAAAGAATATTCTATGTTGAATGTTCCTGGAATATTCCAATAAACATATTCTGAAATTAAAAAAAGTTACCCAAGTAGGGATCGAACTCGTGACCTCAAGACTATCAGAGCAACGCCTTGACCACTAGGCCAGTAATCGAATAGAATAATGTTGTACATATCAATTTCTTGTGAGAAAGTTGTTCGAAATTGGATCATAAACACTTTTTGTTTCAAAATCCCCTTACATCTAATTGATGTTTGATACTCACATCTCTGAAATAATGATATTGGTATCTATGTGTTGGGGAACATAGGAATATTCATGAAATATTTCATTAATATACACCACAGAATATTCAGTTGAGAATATTTCATGAATATATCGCACAGAATATTCAGTTGAGATTATTTCATGAATATACCCCACAGAACATTCAGTTGGGAATATTTCATAAATATACAACAGAGAATATTCAGTTGGGAATAGTCCTGGAAAATTCATACCTGAATATTCCCTGAACATATCCGACTATTCAGTTTGGAATATTCATTTTAGATGTTCCAGAGGCATGTTTATATTCTAGGAATAATCGATGAATATTCGGAATATACTCCTCCTTTTAAGCATATTTAGAGAATATTCTAGGAATATCCAGTGCTGTCTGGCCACGATTCATGGACAACAGCCATGATGTTATTTCCACTTTCATCGAATTGAATTAACGAATACATCATAAAAAAGATAATGATTCAATCAAAACCATTAAAATTAAACACCATATTTCATGAGGAACCACGATATCGATGCCCAACTCAAGCTTTGTTTAATGCTGGGCGATTTTGGCTTTTGCTATGAAACGTGTAAAGTTATTATTGGTCGATGTGGCTACCCAATTCGAATTGAACAATAATAACATCACCAAGTTCCATCGCTAGCATCAGCATCGCCAAAGCCAAATCACCCAGCAAGAAACCAAGCTTCACTCTTCTCGTGAATGCAGGCACGCAAAACCACCACGAAACGAAAACGAACCACAACCCACAACAAAATTCCAATGTGATGGCGTGATGATGTGTTGCGCATGCGCGATGGCTGCGATGGCCAGCTACCGGGTGCAGTGTTGCCAAGTATCCCATACACTAACTGGAAAATATAGATTACTCTTGGATTTCACTCCATGGGGAAATTGGAGGTTATCTGTCATCTGCATGATATATATGATAAAACTATAGATATATCCCATATAGGAGAATCAAATAAATTATAGCCACAATCCATTTTTTTGTGACTGATGTTCATCCCAAAAAGCAATATTGAGGCGAAAAGATATCGTCACTACATATGGACGGACCGAGGGATAGACAGACATTGTGAGTTGGCCTCAGAGCAGACATGATTCGTCACCCCCAAAATAAGCTACTGTAATCTGCTTTATCTTTTCAGATTACCTGCCAATCATCATTCATGTCGAATCAAATGTGCAAATGGCAATTGTCGTTCTAGAATATTTTCAGAATAATAGAACTACGTAAGAACTGTTAAGTTGGCAATATTGTTACTAGGTACAAACGGCTTGGTTCGGTTCGGTTCATGTTCGGCTACATCCGTGCTGACGCCTCGTGCCTCTTGTGCCGCCTAAACAAGAAATGCTGTGATTAGTGGCATTTCGTAGACACCAAATTCAAATAAGGAAATGACGACAACATTTTTCGTTGAGAGAGATCATTTTCTATCATTATTTGAATTGGCTGACAGACTTTTTTGATATTTCAGTATGAAACAATAACTTATTTAGATGAAGTTCAGCGAGAATGACAAGAAAAGTACATTTCACGAGTTCTGAAGACCACATTTTGACGTCCATAAGACGTCTAAAAGTTGCTGTCCACGTGACGTCAGGAAATAGACGTCTTTTTGACGTCATGATTTGGTCAAATGACGAAAGGGACCAAAAATGACTCGAAATAGCGGTCTTAGAGACGTCATTTTCGTCAGTGTGGCTACCTGGGCAGGGACACCTCTCAGTAGGCACACAAAGAAATGCCACAGAAGAACAAAAACAATACTTAAATATCTTACGAAGACCTCTTTGGGAAGTTATGTTTCGTCTCAAAAATACATCCTCATGCCAATATTTTCAAAACATCCCAAAACATCCCAGGGATACCTCTCAGTAGACACACAAAGAAATGCCACAGAAGAACAAAAACAATACTTCTATATCCTTCAAAGACCTCTTTGGAAAGTCATATAACGTCTCAAAAATACATCCTCATGCCAACATTTTCAAAACATCACAAAACATCCCAGGGATGTTTGTGCTCGCTGGGCAAACACTGACACATAAATATCAAATGACAAGTACTGTCATGATGAAATCCAAGTTCATGGTACTGTCAAATTTGCATAATATACATTAATTCCCAAAATTGTTCCACAGTAGGAAAGTCAATAAGCCATTGCGAAATTGAGAAAAATTGTCCCGAAAAAAGCTAGTATTGGTACCAATTGTGTTCAGTGCTACTTTCGATTCAAAAACACATTTTTTTATGTACCAACGACGAGACTCTGTCTATCATATTCAAGTCTGCAAGTTAATAGCTCAGGCCTCAACCAAGACTAGCAATCATGTGAGACAAAAGAAAGTTTTTCGCCGAGGTGCATATTATTATTATTATTTTCGTCGACCTCAAATACGGTCCTATTCACACTATCGGATCCCATGATGAATCGATTTGACAACAGCAAATGACAGATGTTGTCTACTCACTATATCTGCGCAGACCAGGGATGCCAGTTCGATTTTCATTTCATCGTTTAATACCTCGTCAAAAATTCAGATCTATTTTATGCTATACGAACTGCAACATCTAAGAAAAGATAGTGAAATGAACCTATGACGTCAAGACATTATGTACATCTAGTAAACAGAAAAGTTACCTATCTTCAACAAAAAAGGAAGAAACACAACGAACATTCTCATAAAAAAATGATCATAATCCTAATTCCTGATTCAAGAATACTCACAAATACAAATACAGAAATACAAATGAGATTTGATTACATAGAAGGCAAGAACGAAAAGTGAAAATAAACAACAAATATTGAAATAAACGTGAGAAACAAACAGTTATAACAGCGGTGTACAAAATATTCAATTTGATCTCAATTAGATGAAGTATTTCCCTTCTTTGGATTTAACAATAATTTGTGAATTTATATCACTCATTTTGTTGAATCAATTCAAACAGAGCGAGACGAAATATCATGCAAATTATATAAGTACATCTGATGAACTTGAAATTGACTATTATATTGGTTATCGTAATGATGAAAAAGTTTCTAAGTATTTTTCAGTATTTTATACGAGGTATTTTATCAAATGTTTCAGTAGATCAGTAGATCAATATGCATATCAGGAGATATACTGAAAATTCAGTAGAACTGGCAACCCTGCAGCGGACACAAAGTGTTAACAGACGAGGAGTTAGTGTCTGCGAACGAAAAGTAACTACTTCCGGAAATAGTCGGTTTTTCGTTCGGAAATGATAACGTAATATGTGATTTTTTTCAGAGGTCGACTAAAAAAATATATTCGTGATTATTGATAATTGTTTCAATTCGTTGTAAGTATCTCACTTGAACATTTTGGCATCAATTGAGGACTCCAATGATTCTCATCGCATACTTGATATGGTAGGTTAGGGGTCAGCTGATATTCTTGATTGCATTCGAACTTGATGGGTACGCCTCCTTTTATCTCATCTCCTGGTTTTCCTAATGCATTCAAAACGGTCCATTTTCCATTATCCGGATATGGTGGGAGAGTACATCTGAATCTATGGAAGTGTCCTAATGATTCGTGATATCAGTAAGGTACTTATTGATTTGTTCCTTACCCTTCAGACTCTCTGTTATTCGTTTCGATACTCGCATTTGGAACCTTGAGTGAATTAGTATTATCTACAATTATTCATGTTTGGATAATTCACTCGTTAATATTCATGATGATGCACGGAGAAATCATTCAATGGTTTCATGCAAAACTCACCAAAAACAATGATACAAAGAAATACATTCGAAATATGGACGAAGAATTTGATTCTCTCCATTTCGTTTCTACGACGTATTCTTCTACTGCATATCGAGAAATATTATCGAATCATATCAGTGCTTGAGAGCATACTGAAATTATCATAAGAAGACAGACAGTTCATCATCCAAACAAATTTGATTTCATTATAACAAGTTAGAGGCCAACTAGTATCTCACTGGCCTTCGAAGGCCTTCAACTGATTTTCAGTATACTTATCGGCAGCACATGAAATTTCTCATCGGGAACAAAAAAGTAATCAGTGACGTTGGTTCAATCATGTTAAAAACTTGCATCATTCGATTTTTCATCAAGTGAACCAAAAGGAGTCAATATTCTCGCAAGTCAGATTTTTCGAGGTGGAATGAAAAATGATCGTGAATATTCATCGGAGAACGATTCAGGTCATTGAAAAAACGATACTTTTGCTGAACATTGCTGAAACCGATAGCGAATAAATTCACTTTTTTTTTTCAATCACAATGAGGAAATCTTTCGCCCTATCAAAGTTGATACAGTATAACCAGAGACGTGCTCTCAGGGTGAGCCCATCAATTTATTCGAATGTTCGATTTTTTTCAGATCGTAACAAAAAACTCATTATACAATCCTTTCAATGTGAATTCTTCCCTATCAACCTTCGATTTGGAGGAAAAATTAAAACCAAATTCATGCATGTTGACGATCCCGTCCAGAGATAATTAGACTGAAGATGATAGAATAGTTTGAAAATATGCCACGAAGAGTTCATATGACATCATACCTTTCTTTTCACCAGGTGTAGCACATTGTTGCCTGCAAGCCTCAATAGTAGGGAAGTTGTTTTTATTCCCTTTGCAACCCCTATACACGAAAGGTTGACATTGACCAGTCTCTTCATCACACCAATACCTTTGGTACTGTCCGTTGCATGGACCTGCTTCTTGTTTTTGTTCACAAGGATCTGAAAGTGCAAAAATCATTAACCCGTTACAAGTCAATTCCAATAATCTTACCTGGGCTGCTATCGGTAACACATTGGTTGAGGCACTCCTCTCTGCTTTCGAATTTATTATTATTACCAAGACATCCCCCATACACGAACTGAGCACAGTTCTTCAAGTCTTTATCATAGTACCAAACAGGGTAATAGCCTTCGCATGGACCAGCCACTTTAGGCAAATTGCACCTATCTGAAATTCACTTCTATAACTATTGGAGTCTCATGAGTTGATAAGCGATCTCACCTGTTCCTTCAGGCTTAACACAAACTGATTCGCATTCTTCTTTAGACTTGTAACGGTTCTCGTTACCATCACAACCTCCATAATAGAATTTTGAACAGCCACCATAGTCCATATCAAAGAACCATTTAACCGTGTAGTTCATGCATGTTCCCCTTTCCTTTGGAATAGAACACCCGACCTGTAGATTTTGAGGGGCAGTTTCACAACCCTCATAGTTTTCTCCTTTAGCTTCCGTAAGCCCATCAAGTTGTGAAGTGGTCCTGTTGGCTATTTTCACGACAAACAATATCTTATGGTGTAGAATGAAGTCCTTTGCAAAACAATATCTAGTTCACGAGTGATTGTCAAGCTCACAAGATTCTCACAAATTTATTATTTCCATCACTGGAAGCTTCCTGGTATTATCTTGTTTGTTAGTATATTGATGAACGATATTCCTGCCTTCAGGTAAACAATCGAATATCGTTGATTCAGAAACTCGTTCGACTATAAAAAGCGCCCTGCTAATCGTTGTATTCATTTCAGTGTGAAAATCATTTATGTTTGAATAAACCATTGAAAACTATTATTGAACAATCATTCATGGTGAAGAAATAGACAGGGTTACTTCAATTACGTCCCGGAGAAGTCTCCTACTCAAGTCATCAGTCTGTTTTGTTACAATTTCAAACCTAGCTTGATACACTGTAACTGTTACACTCTACAGAGTATCACAAATTTCATGAAATAAATACGCTATAATTGCTTCACCCGGTATGTACAAAAAAGAGGTTTTTATGCAAATACAGTTTGCACACCAATGTTCAGGAGGAATCAATTTGAAGACGAGCGAAATTTGTGAGGTACTCATTGAAATTCACTTCTTATGACAGCATCTGATTAGAATGAAACTATATTTTAGGCCCATATTCGAACAAAAGTTTCCAAAATCTGTTTGAGAGAATCTGCTGTTCCATCTATTCACAAAGCAGACGATTTCAAGAACAAAATTTCATTATTATCATCACACAAAATGCAAAACAAAATAATCATGGAAAAAGGGGAAAATATCACAAAATTACATAATGAAATTGAAAATTTGAAAACGAAGTGAACTACAACGTGATATATTATTGAATGGCGTTTTTGGTGCCGACCAAATTCAAAATTCAACAGTGGAAAGTGAATAGATAGTTTTATGTATCAAGGGAATTATTATAAGGGCCTTAATTATGCTGGAGCTTATCGTTTAGGAGATATTTACTATATCGATCCATGTTACTTAGCTCCTAGGGTGCTAAGTGAAGTTGCTGAGAACTTTACAAAATCAAGTATTTGGTAGGTCTCGTCAAAATAAATCACTTTTTTCCCATGAAATAATTATCGAAAAATGATTTGTTCTCTGTATTTCAACACCCTGTATCTCCGAAATGAAACATTTTCGGATACAAGCTTATATAGACTATATTTCTTGAAATTGTCTCAGGACTACTCCACTTGAACGTACTTATGTTACTCCCTGTATATTGAAAATACCTACCTTTAATTTAATATTAATAACTTCATGTTTCATACTTATCACTGGAGTACAGTTTCACATAACATAAGTAACTATAATAGCTATAAGTTTATCCATATGTGTATATATTTTCTAATATTAAAATGTTGTTACATGCATTCTTTTCATTTATATAACAGTTGCTTGCTAGAAGTTCATCACTATTAAATGAAGTGGGTGTTTGTACCCCATATCCATTGTCCATCTACGGCTATGAATGATTTGACAGAAAATATAACCTCTAAAATCGTATCTGACAATCAGGCGCTACTAGGGAAATTGAAAAGACAAAGAGCAGAATATATGTCTTATTCTTTTATTCACTTGAACTATTATAGAAAATTGAAAAGGACAAAAGTTCAGCTGAGTCCGAACTCTTATCAAACTAATACCATCCAGTGACTCTAATCTGAACTTGATATTATTCTCAGCGTCAATTATTTCAATAGCAGGCATTTCCTCATATTGAAAATGATTTTATTAATTCAATTATCGATAAATCTACGGAAATAAATGTGACTTTTCTTCTCCCTCTAAGATATTGACAGTTTTCTGAAGCCACACTACCTTTTGATGGTCAGCAATTTCAGCAGAATGTTGAGTCGAATTATTTGGAATGAATAGTATGTCTGCTCACAAGCATCTGTCATTTCAGTAAATTTTTTGATTTCGGAATGAAAAATCAGCAGATTCAGTACTGTCAGTTGAATTCGGAATATAGCCTTAGTAAACAGAAAAGTAACCTATTTCCAACGGAACAGGAACAAAGACACCGAACATTCCCATAAAAAAATAATCATAATCCTAATACTAAATTCAAAAATACTCACAAATATCACAAAATACAGTAACATACACAAATAACCTAGGCGAGAAGCGAATGCCCCATGTATTTTCTCCTCCAAACCATAAATGAACATCATGAACCTTAGGATGGTACAATAATGCGACTGCTGATGAGACCATATCCACAAAGCGATAAAAAAATAGATACAAATAAGATTCGAGTATATAGAAAACAAGAACGAAAAGTGAAAATGAACAACTAGAATTAACAAAAAGTAAACGTAAGAAAGAAACAGTTATAACAGGAGTATACAAAAAATTAAATTTGATCTGAATTTGATGGAGTACTAAATTTTTTTGGTTTATACATTATCATAAAGTACCTATTTGTGAATTCATTACTATTTTGTTGAATCAATCTGAACAGAGCGAGACGAAATATCATGCAATTTATAAGTGCATCTGATTAACTAAAGATTGATAATTATATTTGTAATTACATTACTGAATAAATATCTAGATATTTCTCAGTATTCCACGAGGTATTTTATGGAGTAGATCAATATACAAATCAGGAGATATACTAAAAATTCAGTAAAACTGTTAGTGTCTGCGATCGTAAAGTAATTGTGTCCGGTAATAGAGGGTTTTTCGGAAACTAGAATGTAATAATATGTGATTTTTTGTAGAGGTCGACGAGAAAAATATATTCGTGATTATTGATTATTGTTACAATTCGTTGTAAGTATCTTACCTAAACATTTTGGCATCAATTGAGGACGCCCAATGATTCTCATCGCATACTTGATATGGTTGGTCAGGGGTCAGTTGATATTCCTGATTGCATTCGAACTTGATGGGTACACCTCTTTTTATCTCATCTCCTGGCTTTCCTAATGCATCCGAAACGGTCCATTTTCCATTTTGCGGATATGGTGGGAGAGTACATCTAAATCTATGGAAGTGTCCTAATGATTCGTGATATCAGTAAGGTACTTATTGATGTGTTCCTTACCCTTCAGACTCTCTGTTATTCGTTTCGATACTCGCATTTGGAACCTTGAGTGAATTAGTATTATCTACAATTCATGTTTGGATAATTCACTCGTTAATATTCATGATGATGCGCGGAGAAATCATTCAATGGTTTCATGCAAAACTCACCAAAAACAATGATACAAAGAAATACATTCGAAATATGGACGAAGAATCTAATTATCTCCATTTCGTTTCTACGACGTATTCTTCTACTGCATATCGAGAAATATTATCGAATCATATCAGTGCTTGAGAGCATACTGAAATTATCATAAGAAGACAGACAGTTCATCATCCAAACAAATTTGATTTTATTATAACAAGTTAGAGGCCAACTAGTATCTCACTGGCCTTCGAAGGCATTCAACTGATTTTCAGTATACTTATCGGCAGCACATAAAATTTCTTATCGGGAACAAAAAAGTAATCAGTGACGTTGGTTCAATCATGTTCAAAACTCGCATCATTCGATTTTTCATCAAGTGAACCAAGGAGTCAATATTCTCGCAAGTCAGATTTTTCGAGGTGGAATGAAAAATGATCGTGAATATTCATCGGAGAACGGTTCAGGTCATTGAAAAAACGATACTTTTGCTGAACATTGCTGAAACCGAAAGCGAATAAATTCACTTTTTTTTTTGATCACACTGAGGAAATCTTTCGCCCAATCAAAGTTGATACAGTATAACCAGAGACGTGCTCTTAGGGTGAGCACATCAATTTATTCGAATGTTCGATTTTTTTCAGATCGTAACAAAAAACTCATTATACAATTCTTTCAATGTGAATTCTTCCCTATCAACCTTCGATTTGGAGGAAAAAATTAAAACCAAATTTATGCATGTTGAAGATCCCGTTCAGAGATAATTAGACTGAAGATGATAGAATAGTTTGAAAATATGATACGAAGAGTTCATATTTTTTGAATTGACCCAGCCGTTACTTGATGGAAATCCATGAAAAATGTAAAAACTTCACAAACGATAAGATTTCCACAAAATTCTCAAACACACGTTTATAGGTAGACAGGTAACTGATCCTTCAGGTTGGGAGAGAGTGAGCTATATAAAAGTTAAGCAAGCCAACGTTAGTTTAGTTCATTGTATCAGTATATCACCTGACGAAGCTACTGTGTTAGCGAAACTTGTCGTGTGTTTGGTAATTTTGTGAAAATCTTATCGTTTGTGAAGTTTTTACAATAGGAGAGTTTATAATTGATGCGATAGATAGTTGTGAAATTTCTATGATTTATTGTTCAATAAGAGAACAACATTCGATTCATATAGAGGAAGCCGCTGCATAAGGAATCGTTTCCTCATTCCAAGGAAGAAGCTACTTCAATTCACCAAGAGCTCCATATCTTCTACTGATCAGGCGTGTTTCAGGATAATGTTATTGTATATATGGATTTGTCAAAAGCATATGATACACTAGATCATACAATAATGCTAAATGAATTAGAACAATATGGAGTGAGAGGAAATGCTTCATTGTGGTTTGAGTCCTACCTTTCAAATAGACAACAAAAAGTTTCATTAATGAAAAATAATCTGGAAATAAGATCTAACATGCAATCTATTAAAATGGGCATCCCTCAAGGAAGCATCACTAGACCAATCTAATTCATAATTTACGTAAATGATCTTGCTGATATTGCAGCAACAGTTGAAAATAGTTCTCTTGCCATGTACGCAGATGATGCGAATTTCCAACTATATGATCCACTTTATCACGTTTTAATTGAATCCGCAGAATTAGTTTTAACAGCAGCCAATGAGTGCTTTGATGAAAATAGACTGATACTTGATAAAGAAAAAACGAGTTGTATATTGTTTAAAACAACACATACACGATTCCAAACACCTGAAAGTATAGACATGAATAATAGAAAGTATGATACAATAACATCAACCAAATTTCTAGGTGTTGTTATAGACTAAAATTTGAAATGGAATTATTATATTGAGAAACTATAAAATAAACTGAATAGTGTGACCTATAGTTTGAGAATTATGGCAAAATACCTGAACAACCCAACATTGAAGATTGTGTATTATGCACAATTTGAAGCAGTGTTAAGATATGGGATTATTTTTTTCGGTAGCAGTGGTGAATTCAAAAAGTTATTCACAATCCAGAAACGAGCTGTTAGAATAATATTAAATTTGGATTTTTTAGAAACGTGTAGAAGAAAATTTGAACAAAATAGAATTCTAACAGCTAGTGCAATATTTATACAAGAGTGTTAACTATTCTTCTTCTGAAATAAACATTTTTTCAATGATTGTCTTTCACAACATACATATGGTATTGAATCCGTAATGTATAACTATTCAGCACACAGACTTACACTCACAGAAAAGAGTACAAAATACTGCTGCTCAAGATTTTTCATGAAGCTGCCTCGTGAGGTGCAAGAAATACAAACACTTAACATCTCAAGGAAAACAATTTTCAATTTATTAATGAAAATAGAGCCTTATACTGTAGATGATTTCATATCAGCACAACTATAATAGTATAATGCCATAATTATGTTATTCTATCTGTATTCCATACATTTTCATAAAATCTATGTTATTTAAATGTTGTACATGTGAAATACACGATTTTGTATAATGTAAATATTAGGTACACGTCCTGTCAAATGTACCATTCTGTGACGTTTTTTCATTTAATGTTTTGTGTTAAATTTCTTTTATTGCATAACATTCCTTGAAATAAAGATTGTTATTATTATTATTATTATTATTATTATTTTAAATTCATATAATTCCAGTCACGACCCTGCGGCCTCCGACGTCACGCAGAGTCGTGCTGGATAAAATCCAGTGACTACTCCTCACAGCCTGTGAGGTGAGTAATCACTGGGACCAAGTACCGTGTGCCCTGAGTAGACGCAATGATCCTAGTATGACGGCCTTCTGCATTCCACCAGCCAGGATGTGTGCCTTATCACGGCACGCTGGGATTTTCCGGATCTCCGAGAGCAGCGTGTGTCGTGTGCCTCCTAGGTAGCCGATAATCAGGATGACCAATTCCACAGAATGGTCTGGATAGAGCCGGCGGAGTTCGAAGAGAAGATCTCGATATTTAGTCCGTTTTTCCTCCTCCTTCGAAACGATGTTCGGTTCGGCTGGCGCCGAAAACTCGATCACGAACATCGCTTTTGGTTTGATGGTCGAGGAGGACTACATCAGGCTTGTTAGCTTGAATTTGCCTGAGGGTGGGGAATGAGAAGTTCCAATAAATTCG